TGTGTAGCAGTGTGCTCCATACAGCACAGGACAGGGCTGTTCAATGTCTAGCAGTGTGCTCCAGACAGCACAGTACAGGACAGGGCTGTTCAGTGTGTAGAGATATGATCAGACAGGGTGGAGAGATATTCTTTACCTCCTCTCTGACGAGACGCTCGGCTGCCTCCTGGCTCTCAGCTCTGTGAAGTGTCTCTGGGTTGCTGCCCGAGGAGGCGAGGGGATTATCAGGGGTGACAGGGGGAGGCAGAGGGAGAGAGGGGGCTGTGGTGGAGGCCGTGCTGTCCTGAGCTGGAGGAGGCTGGGCTATCTGCGAGGGAGGGGGAGAGCTGAGCATCCTGCTCCCAGCCCCTGCCTCTCTTCCCACCTCCTCCTCGATCAGCTCTTTCTTGACCTCCAAGCTGCTGTGCACGGAAGGCCCAACAGGGGGCGCCGTGGCAGGGTCGGGGGCCTTGAAGGAGGGCTCCCAGGGGCCTGAGAGGGAGTGGGAGTCAGCAGCCTCTTCACACAGAGACAGGGCCGCCTCCACGGCTGCAGCATCCAGGGCCTCAGCATTGTCATCAACCTGGAGAAAGGAGAGGATAGGAGGGACGAGGAGAAGAGAGCAGGAGAGGAGAGCAGCGCAGGGCAGGAGAGGAGAAGAGGAGAGCAGGAGAGGAACAGAGGAGAGCAGGAGAGGAGGGCAGGGCAGGAGAGGAGAAGAGGAGAGCAGGAGAGGAGGGCAGGGCAGGAGAGGAGAAGAGGAGAGCAGGGCAGGAGAGGAGGGCAGGGCAAGAGAGGAGGGCAGGGCAGGGCAGGAGAGGAGAGGAGAGGAGAGGAGGGCAGGGCAGGAGAGGAGAGGAGGAGAGGAGAGCAGGGCAGGAGAGGAGGGCAGGGAAGAGCAGAAGAAGTTCAAGCCGACAAAAGAGGCAAAAGAGGAGAGGGTGGAGAAAGACAGAAGGAGAACAGAAAAGAAGGGAAAGGCGAAGCAATGGGAAGAAAGTGTGAGTTTGTCTCCATGCAGCCCGACTCCATTTCATCTCGGAGCGAGCACGCAGCAGCTCCTCACCCACCTTCTCCTCGATGATGGCGATGATGTCCCCCACTGTCTCCAGGTCCAGCTCGTCCCCCATGTAGGACACGGCCACCAGGTCCTCCTCCTCTCCCAGCTCGCCCTTGACCTCGCCCGGGGCGGGGCTGCCCTGGAGCTGCCCGCTGGCCCCCTCGTCAGCACCTGCACCCACACAACACATGCCGTCACTGGCGCTGCCCCGGCCTGCCCTCCGCTGAGGCCTGACCCCAGGTTCACGCGGCCCTGCACCCTGTTCGGGGACGGGCACCCCGACACCCAAACTGGCACAGCGAGTAACTCGTCGAGCCCTGAGCCCGGTCCACGCCAGAGACAGAGGGAGGGCGCAGACGGACAGACAGATGGGGGAGACGGGGAAAGACACAGGGACCAGGCACCCAGACAAGGCTGACGGAGACCTGTGGCGCGCGTCTCGGGGGCGTCCGCAAGGTGGGTGGAGGGGTCCGGCTGCGGCAGCGAGGGCACAGCGCTGGCAGCGCCGGGGGGCTCGGCGCTGGTGGGCAGGGTGGAGCCGAGCTGCACGGTGAAGTGGGTGGGGCCGGCCTCCAGCAGCCGAGACAGCGTGGGAGCACCTGACACAGAGCAGAGCAAGCAGTCAGCAGGCCAGCAACACACACACACACGCACGCAACTGACACAACAACACAGCTACACAAGACAGCAGTGATTCTAGTTAGCACGCAGAAGAGCAAGATGGCACGCAGGCACACTGACAGCAGTCTCAGCATCCAGGAGGCTGGCTGGATCACAGCAGAATCAGCACTGACCGGAGGAGAGACAGGTCTCACTGACAGCACTGTAGGATCACAGTAGAGTCAGCGCTGACCGGAGGAGAGACAGCTCTCACTGACAGCACTG